CAGGTCACGATCTCGCGGTCCGGGAGTTCGAGCCCCGCGTCGGGCTCTGGGCTGATGGCTCAGAGCCTGGAGCCTGTTTCCGATTCTGTGTCTCCCTCTCTCTCTGCCCCTCCCCCGTTCATGCTCCGTCTCTCTCTGTCCCAAAAATAAATAAACGTTCAAAAAAAAGAAAATTAAAAAAAAAAGAAACAGAAGGCCAGGCTTCGGGGCACCTCGGTGGCTCAGTTGGTTAGGTGTCTGACTTAGGCTCAGGTCATGATCTCATGGGTTTGAGCCCCGTGTTGGGCTCTGTGCTGACAGCTCAGAGCCTGGAGCCTGCTTTGGAATCTGTGGCTCCCTCTCTCTCTCTGTCCCTCCCCCACTCATGCTCTCTCTCTCTCTGTCTCTCAAAAAATAAATAAACGTTAAAAAAATTAAAAATACATCAATAAAAATAAAGTCTTAATAAATAAGTGAATACATACATCCAATTGCCAACAGTAAGAACCCAGTGGCCAAATATAAAAGCGGACTGGATGTGGCCTGAGTGGCTCAGTTGGTTAAGTGTCTGACTTTGGCTCAGGACATGACCTCAAGGTTCGAGAGTTTGAGCCCTGCATCAAGCACATGGCTGTCAGCACAGGGCCCACTTCAGATCCCCTGTCTCCCTCTCTCTCTGCCCCTCCTCTGCTTGCTCTCTCTCTCTCTCTCTCAAAAATAAACATTAAAAAAAAAAAAAGCAGACTGGGAAATGCTGAAGAGAAACCAGTGAATAGGAACATGGGCCAGAAAAGAGTAAACAGAATAAAGCCTGAAGAGCCTAAGGATGAAAAGGCAGGACAGGAGAAAAAGGACACAGAATATATAACGAAAAGATCGACCACACATATAAGTGGCACTACAGAAACAGAACAGAAAAAGAACGGCACAGAAGCCATGTTTGAAGAGTTCATGTCTGTGAACTTTTCAAAATTGATGAAACCTTTTTTTAGACTGACTGAAAATATCTATGCGCTCTCCCACACAAACACAAAAATGGAAATTCACACTTAGGGACCTCGTCCAGGGTTTTAAAACATGGCCCCCAAATTCTTTGACACTGCTCCCATTGAGTAGTGGTGCCTTATGGCTCTTTACCCTTTAATTTGACTCTGTAACTGTTTTGCCAATAGCATATGGCAGAGCTGATGGCACTTTAGTTTCTGGAGCAAGGTCTTAAGAGACTGGAAGTTTCCACCTCTTTTTTCTGGGGACCCAGTTATCATGCTATGGGAAAACTGACACAACCCACAGGGATGACTCTTGACCTTGGACCCTTAGCTCTGGACGAACTTCCAGGCAACAGCCAGCTCCAACCTGCCAGCTGTGAGTGAGTCATCTTAGAAGTGGACCCTGCAGGGGCGCCTGGGTGGCGCAGTCGGTTAAGCGTCCGACTTCAGCCAGGTCACGATCTCGCGGTCCGTGAGTTCGAGCCCCGCATCAGGCTCTGGGCTGACAGCTCGGAGCCTGGAACCTGCTTCGGATTCTGTGTCTCCCCCTCTCTCTCTGCCCCTCCCCCGTTCATGCTCTGTCTCACTCTGTCCCAAAAATAAATAAAAA